TTTATAAGTGATTTGCTTTGTTGGTTGTAAAGTTATTGTAATATTACCGAAGGCAAAATTTTTTGTCCCACACTGTACATCCAAATCACTACAATATATTGAAATTCATGGCAAATAAAAGTATTGCTTTCCTGTTACTTGTAAAAATTTTGTTCTTAAAATGTGTCAAAATTATAATTAATATAATGTAACTGATAACTGATATATTTTTATTGAATTTTAATCAGACAAGCATTCTTCCCTTTTGGAACCATCCAAAATAGAATAGTACACACAACTTCGCATATAACCAACCTATTTATGTGATCCAAATACAATGTTGATCATCCATAATAATAATAAATAAATTAAAAACCTTAGTGTTTTATATTTTACTATTTGTAACAAAGTTTTTTTTAAAGCTAATATAAAAGTGGATCATAAATTATGTAGCAAATTTTCCTTATTTGTATTTCTTTAGCCAAGATTTGACAAGATTTAATAAACTGATGATTTCAAATAAAAAAATCATACAAATTGTTTTTAACACAGAAAAATATCAAATCCATATGTAAAAACCAAATTATCAAACACCGTATAATTCTTTTCTTTTAAAAAAAAATGCAATTAATAAAAGACATGCATGTATAATTAAGTTTTTGATTTATATTTAGTGAAGAGAGGAAGAAAAGAAAGTCACTTCTTTCATCTAAAATTTGTTCATCGCCAAATGAATAATCATCATCATCATTGCCATCATTCATTCATTTCATTAATTCCATAAATTGAAATTATAAATATAATTGGCCTCAAATAGAAACGGAATTTAAAAGTAGCATAATATAATAAATATCATTCTCTCATTTGTAAATTTCGATTTTCCTTATCCCATGTCATTAGAATTTTTATTAAGCTAATAATCATCTCTTTCACTTTCAATATAATCATCGTAATTGCCACCACCCATCCCACTATTCACGAAATCAAATGCAGCAACATTAAGTGGACAACGAAAAAAGCTTATATCAACCTTTAAATCTTCGTCATCATCAAACGGATCATCAAATAATCCTATAAAAAAAAATAAATATTAATATGTATGTATGTATGTATATGTATTTAAAAATTGAATTGAAATATTAAAATAGAAATTAAAAATTAAAAACCTTGGACGGGTGGTGGGCAATATTCTATATCATCATCATCACTATAAATTTCATTTTCGTGATTATTATTATTACTATTAATAGGACCATTGATATTATCTTCATTATCATTGTTAACTTTATTACTATTATTACTGTTATTGCTGAAAATCTCATCATCATTATTATTCTTATTATTAAATTTATTATTATTCTTATTATTATTGTTTCTGTTGTTGAAGATATCAAAATTAAAAAGTTTTATATTGTTATTTGTATTCGTTTTATTGCTTAAAGCAATACGTCTAGCAGTCGGAGTTACTGGGGTCACTGGAGTTGTTTTATTGTTGTTGGTAGCAGCATTTCGTAAAGGCGTGTTAAACAATTTAGAATTTTCTTTTTCTCGTGACATCTTTTAAAAACAATAATTTCATTATTTGTTATTATTATTATATATATATATATATATATATATATATATATATATACATATACACACACGCGGTTTACACAAACTTTTTTAAAGTTGTTTGTTACATAAAGATAATATTAATGATAATCATTTCAAAAATTTTTTTTTTTACACCTAAAAATTAAATTAATAAAAAAATGTCGTTTATGCATCCATTTGGAGTTCAACAACAACAACAACAACAAGCAGTCAATCCACAAAATATGGCAATGGTTGAACAAGAACTTGAAATGGTGACTGATACTTTTTATCGGTAAAAAAAAAAAAATGGAAAAAATTAATTCTCAAACAAAACCATTTTGAAAAAATGGGTTTTTTATAACAATTTTACATATTTTTTATTATTATTATTGTGTAGTATTGTAGATTCATGTTTTAAAAAATGCATACCACCAAAATATATTGAAGAAGATTTAAATAAAGGTGAATCAGTGTGTATTGATAGATGTGTAGCTAAATTTTTTGAAGTTAATACAAAGATTAGTGAAGTTTTGGCAAAGAAAAATCAGCAAGCTGGTACTAGTGGACTCGTTTAAAAATTAATTTCACAAAAACATTCTTTTGGTAACAATTAAATAAAAAATTCTATTTTGCATCGAATCATGTGTAAAATTTCATATCTTTAATATTTTTATTAATTGAGATGTGATAATTAATAGACATCTTGAATAAACAAACAAACATCTATATTTTTTTGTAAACAAGCTAGGTAAACATGTCAGCTGTGGTAAAATCATCAATCTTTATAAAAATAATGTGCAAATTAATTTTGGTTGAAACCTATTTTTTTTTGGTCATTGGAGATGCACTTGATGATGGTTAAAAGAAATACAAAAAAAATTATATATTATATTCTCAAACCATCTATTTACTAACCTTTCGAAAATAACACAACCATCATTATAATCCTCAAGTTCTCCATATTCTGTATATGCTTGTAATAAATAATTGATATGTAAAGAATTTGAGTTCACTGTAGTTAAAATTCATCAATTGTAAAATCTGCAAGCTCTTTTTTTACACTATTTACATTGTCATTGTCACTGTCAATTAAAGAATTTTCTTGGTGTTATCTTTGGATAAAAAACTCTTCCAATCTGAAGGCTTCATGTCCAAATATGTCTCCACCAATATTGGTCTTTGAACCTCGATTTTTATTGCTCTTATTTGCAAATAAATTATCGATATGTAGTTGGACTTTGACAGGTTATTATGTTTTTGATAATAAGAAATAAGATATTATTAGTAATCGTTTATTAATAAATAATAAGAAATAATAATTCATACTGATTCATTGATTGTACATTGATTCATGAATTGAGATACCCTAAATATATATAAATTAACACTCCCCTACCAAAAGTATCCGGACACCTATTTTTACTAATAACACAAAAATCCACATAATAACTATACATAAAATTTATATCAATATGAAGCTCGGGTTTTGATGAATATTCGTGCAAAATTTCATAAGAATATTATATAAAATGATATTTTAATAATAAAAAAAAGAAATCCGATTTAAAAAAAGAATTTTTGGTGATAATCAAAATTTATTCAAAAATTCGCAGATCAGTTTTTATTGCAAGTTGTTTAACTTTTATTATAAAATACCTACGCACTCCAAAGTTATGAAAAATTACATACTTAATAATGAAAACCTAAAAAAAAATTTTTTTTTATTATGTGGAATTTTAAACAATCAAGAAAACAAAAAACAATATTGCAATTTTTAATCAAACTTCTTATTTTTTTTATTAAAATATCATTTTATATAATATTATTATGAAATTTTGTATAAATATTCACTAAAACCTGAGCTGCATATTGATATAAATTTTGTGTATATTTATTATGCGGATTTTTGTGTTATTAATAAAAATAGGTGTCCGGATACTTTTGGTAGGGGAGTGTATGTGTGATTATATTAATATATTTATTTCTTTTTCCAAAGGTTGAACGATCTGATGATCTGACAGTGTACAATCCATTACGCGATCAATTTTTTTTTATTATTAATTATTTATTTTTAGAAAATAGAAATTATTTGTATTTGGTATATTATTATTCAATTTAATGAATTTAATTATCAGATCATTTGGAATAAATTAACAAAATATATTTATATTGGGCAAGTTATAATGATGATAATAATATTTTTTTATTACCAACTTGTATCCATGGCATTATGATTATTGCCACTACCACCATCATTCCCACCACTACCACCACCATTACTATCACTACCACCACCATCATTACCACCACTACCACTATCATTACCATCACTACCACCACAACCCTTTAGGGCTTTGTTCCAAAATATTCAAACCTTGCTTGATGTACTATGTCAAAGTCTATCATTAATAAATAAATTTCTTCATATTCATAATTATCAAACAATAAATTAACTACTACTACTATTATTATTATTTTAAAATTCTAAATAAATTAATAAATAACCTTATAAATAACTATAAATCAATCCCTTATAATTAAAAACAAAGTTTTTCTAACACAACCTTCCAAGTGGTTATAAGCGACTTTGTAGGGAACATTTTGGCACAATTGTTGCTGCTGAATTCACTTTAGTCTGCATACTAGTTGAGTGATAATCTTAAAATAAGTGTGAAAAAAAGAAACACTTTGACCTGGTGTAGAATAACCAATATTTAAGCTAGCCTTTTCTTTTAACTGTTGTTAGAAAGTTCTAGTCTGATTCTAAAATTTTTATTATGGTTAAAAATCGCTTGCTACATGAAAATGGAGAAATTTTTTTTTGAAGTGGATGATAATAATTTTATTCATGTAACGTTTATATTGAATGACATTTGATCTGCAATGTCCCGCGACTAAACAGGAGAGAACGTCCTATATAAGGAATGGATTTTCACAATTGATTTCAATTTTTTTTATACAGTTTAAAAT